GGGGGGGGGGAAAGTGAAGCAAACATAAATTCAGAGGATTGAAGAAATAAGCTGAAGAATCACAGTTAAAGACAGGCAAATCTAGTTTAATGTTCACATGGAGAAATTACACATCACAGAGATTAAACAGGATTTTAACTGTAACATAGCTGCAATGAAGTGATAGTCATTTCGTATTAGAAAAATAATCTTGACGCAGTTTTCCGATTTTTGGTCTACTTAAGTTCATGTTAAGATGGATTTACATCATTGATCATAATGACTTTGCCCGTGTGCTTTTCCACAGTCCAGTATCAATATTCTTTGGACGAAGGAAAGATTAGCTGTTTATTTATCAATGGTTTTGCCCTTTGGTTGCAAGCAGAAAAAAAACTTGTTTTCACTTATTTAAATATCAGAATGAGAGTTTGTGATGATAAACCTTTTGGTGTTAAATGAATTTTCCCTAGCAAGTTCCTTGATTTTGATGCAAGAGCAGATTTATAAAAGCTGATTGGAGACCTAAAGCATTGCCCCATATGCAAAAAAGTAGATATACTTTGTTTTTCTAATCTCAGTAAAAAAACACTACTGTTTTAATGCTACTTGTACATAGTGGACTAAAAACCCCTGTGCCTAACTGACAAAACTGTAGTTTCCAAATGTATAATACAGTTACAAACATTTTCAATCTAGATTGAAGAAAACACGTCTGTATTGACTCAGAACAAGTTTATTTGCAATTAGACATCTCATGCAATCATGCAGGACCACTAACTATAGCTGTAACTTCCGAGTCTAAAAGACATTGGGTGAAAAATCCTCAACATTTAAGATAATTTTCATATTAGGAGCTCTGTACTTGAGCTGTAAATAATTTTCTAAAGGAATGTACCCACAGATTAAAAAAAACATACACACCTTTATCATATTTACAAAAAATATTTAATTAAAAATATTTTATAATTACAGTAGTCTATTAAAGCATATACTTTTCTCACTTACACTTATAGAACATCTCTATATATACACAGTATGAAATGTCACTCATTTATCTATACAATATGTAACATTCCTGCAGGGAGAAGAAAGTTCCCTGGGCCCGAATAAAATCATCTATTTTAAACAATAGATGTCAAATATATCTACAATGCTCTGGTAGATTAGTAAAGCTTCACAATTCAGCTGTTCTGTCCTTTTATAGTTATACTCCTAAAGTTTGATTTACTCTTGATCTTCTATCCAACAGAAGAGTCCTGTTTTTTCTGCTTAAGGTTTAAATCTCCTCCCACCAAAATAAACATACAATTCACATCTGATATAAAAGGAACAGGAAAAAAAACAACAAAAAAGGATGCGTTTAAATGCTATGGATGTGCAAAATGGTGAAAGGTTCTCTCTTGGAATGAAGTATGGAAACGACTCTGGGGTTGAATGATTTTTTCCTCTGGTCTGATGGCTGATATTTCTTTTCCCCCTCCCTCTCTAATGTGTCTTTCTCTGTTCCTCTGGCTCTGGATCTGCCTGCTGCACACCTGTGGAAGAGGAATGAATAGAGGGGGTGTGTGAACCATTCTGCTCCAGACTGACTGGCGCCACCAACAAAACACAAGACATGCTTGATCAACAACCCAAAACAAACCAGGTCAAACAACAACCGCAGCTCCCAGGCTAGGCCAAACAGAGGAATACACAGCTGCAAGCCCCAGCTAGAAGCGCTTGAGAAGGGACTTTCATAGGCAAGTCTCCCTGCAAACACTGTTGGAGCAGCCCAGACCCCATGTCTGCACCATGTATGAAACAGAGATAGAGACAGTTGTAACACAAGGAAAAAAAAAAAATCTTCCTTCAGAAAAGAACATAGGTGCACTCAGGTCAGAGAGGCATTAGCACTCCTGAAATATGATTCAGGGCATACTGGAGGAGAAATGAACTCCTCAGGAAAGTGCAGTGGACTCCAGCTGGTTCTAAAGGAAGAGTTAGCTGAAACATTTACAGTGCAAAAGGGCACTGGCATGACAATGCTATGGATGGGAAGGATGCAGCCTCTGTGAGGTCTCCAAATGCCCAAGCGTGGCTTGCAACTCACCTTGGGTGTGGAGTTCAGCGGCACAGGATGCTGTCCCCCTGCTTGTTCACAGAGCCAGCCTGCACAGCAGTGAAACAGATCGGTCTTAGTACGGATTATTAGCTCGGCCCTGATCTCCCTCTTCGCTACCCTACCCGCTGGGTCTCCATCACACCACAGGCAGAGTGGGGCTGGGAGGGGAAAAGCCCCACAATGGAAGGAGCCACCACAGCGGGCTGTCAGTCTAGGCCAACAGAGCCCTACTGTCCCCAGATCGGTACCCGCTGGCCTCCAAGCTGGACGCCAGCCCCATCAGGGTGATCCTTCCTGGGCTTGCGTGGGTGTTGCCTGCCAGGCAGGCTGGACTGGGGGTGTCACAGGTTTCTCTCTGGTTCTGGGAGAGAAGATGCTTGTCTAGGGGTAAGAGTGGATGCCAGGGAGAGGAGAGCCCCCTCCCCTGGACCACTGCCATGTGTGCATCCCCCTCCCAAAAGCTGTCCCCACTGAAGGGGGGAAGCCCCTCCAGCCGGTACAGACTCTTGTGTCTACACATACATAAACCAATACACACACACCATGCACACCCCAATACATACCAGTATATGACACACATGTGCGCAAATACACACGATACACCCAGTATACACAAACACGAGATACTGCACACACATACTGATGACACAAATACACGCAGCTACATGTGAGAAACAAACACACCACACACGATATACCTAGCATACACACAAATATATGTATCATACATGCGCACACACATACACACCAATAAACACAAATACATACATGCACGCCATACACATGTCCACACACACCAATACACACACACACTGGTATAGGCACTCACGATACACCCAGCATACAAACATGATACAGCACACACACCAACAAACACAAATACACACACACGGGATACACCATGCATACACAATGCACACAACATACACACAAACATGAGATACAGCATACACCCCCCACCAATAAACACAGATACACACAGCATCATATCCCCCCCACACACACAGGTGCAAATACACACACGTGATACACCCAGCATACGCACAAACACGATACAGCATACACACACGTACCAATAAACACAAACATGCACAACACCATACACCCCCCCCCCACACACAGGTGCAAACACACACACACGATACACCCAGTATACACAAACACGAGATGCAGCATACGCATACTGCTACACGCGAGATAAATGAACCACACGGATGCATGCACACACACACGATACACCCCAATAACCACAAAAACACACAGACACCATACACACGCAGTGATACACACAAACATACACGCCCACACACACCTATGCACTCACCATACCCCTGCACACAGAGATACACTTACCATACCCCCCACACAAGTATACATGCCCACACAGACCTATGCACTCACCATACCCACACGCACAGATACACTTTTACCATACGCTCACACACACCCATACGCACAAATATACAAACCCACACACCCCGATACACACAAACATACACGCCCACACCCCGAGCTACCCACTTACCGTACCCCCACACACCCCGACACACGCCCACACACGGAGCGATGCACCGACCATACACACACACGCACGCACCCCCGGCAGAGGCAGAGGCAGAGGCAGCGGCAGCGGCGATGCAGCCCGCACACGCGTTCCCCCCGCCCGGGGCCGGGGCCGTCTCTCACCGGGTCGGTGTTGAGGGCGCTCAGCGGGCTGCGGGCGGTGCCGGCGGGGCAGGCGGCCGGGTGCAGCGGCGGCG